CATTGAGGAACAAAAACCAGAGCAAAGATAAACTCAATCTGTCACTTTACTTGGTACAGATAGAAATAGGTAAGCTACTATATTACTTTCTGAAACAAACCTTTAATGCAGATGAACTGAATATAAACAAGTGTTGTAGTCATTATGTAACAACACAGGAAAGGTGAACTCAATCTTCTCTCAGGCGTTGCCACTTTGCTGGTACAGGCAGGAAGAGGTGAACCACCCTCTCTATTACTTTCTCCCAGAAACCTTTAATGTAGATGAATTGAGTGTAAACAGTCTCAAGACTGACATGGTAATTGTCAAAATGGTCAACAGTTAGGACAAAAATTGAAACAGATAACAGCATTTCTGGACTGTCCCAAGTGGAGTGGGTCCCTGGAGTAGTGTGTCACACCCTGTGCTTATGGGAAAGACCAGTAGGGACAAGGAAATGGCACGAGGTTTCTGTGCTTTTCCTCCTCCTTCAAAGGCACCAGGGTAGTCTTGTCATGTTGTCAGGCTTAAGTACTCTTTGCTTCTGGTTCTGTCATTTGAAGGCAGACTTTTAACACTTGATGCTTTTCAGCATTTGTCACTACCATAGTTTCAATTGTGCTTAGTAGCTCTCCATGGAATTTGTGCCTAAGGTACTTTCCCAGTTTGTGTGATGAAATACTATGACCAAAACATGCCAAAGGAGGAGTGTTCATTTTGCCATGCTGTCATGAGTGTGATGTGCATATTTGCTGAGAGCCCATAGATCCAGGAGCCTGAGGTACAGGTCCAATGCAACAAGAATAAGGAAAAGGAGGGCTTATGCTCTGCTCACCTTCTCCTTATATAGTTGTGGATCAATATCACTGACAATGGGACAGTTCAGTTCCTCAGTTAACCCTGTCAAGATAGTGCCCTACTTCCATGACCCAGAAATCTGGCCCTGACATCTTGACTTTTGAGATTAACCATCACAGTGTCCCCAAAAGGTAGTGATCAGTTTGGGGTTTCAATCTATGATAAACCCAGTCTTTCTGGTGGAAGACTACCATCTCCTGTGCACTCAAACAAATATCTTACAAACAAATACCTTACAAAGCCCTCCTAGTGGTGCAGAATAAGCAGATACTTTCCCTAGGTCCACTGGGATGTTGTAGTAGTGCCTATTTGTTTTTCTACTGACCATTTAGTCCCTCTTTAAAGGACATTCTCAGACAGATGAATGAATGGTAGGTTACTCTAATGTGAATCCATTGCAACATTATCAATGTCCTGAAAAGTAAAGGCCTCATGTATGTCTTCAGCTTTTAGCAGTCTATGCTCCTTAAATTTAACTGGCATGCTGGGTGACTGAGTCAAGGCAGGTAACAGGCTGATACCTATTTTGGACACTTTGAATTAATGGATGATGAAGAGGGAAAGGATCTGTACTCAGACCTATCCTTGATGCTTTTAGATGGATCCTTACTTCAAACTCCAAGATACAAAGACTGAGTTTGTGAATTCCATAAAATACTGCACATATTCCTCAGAATAAAGGATATAGACATGAGGGCATTAGCTGTGTAGGCAACCATAGGATGTGTCTGTCCCTTGTGCCATTGAGTACCACCCTCTTGGCATTAACTGACATTTCTCATCTTCCCTGGGGACATGAACTTTGATTTAAAGAGTCTCTATCGTCTAAGTGACTTCGCTGTCATGTCTTCAGTAGGCTCACAAATTATGCTAATAAAAAGAATGTCTGCGTCTATAGATTCTCTCATTCTGAAGATGGTTTGGGCTCCTTTTCATAGACTATAGGTTCAATTACATAGGTTCAACTACATAGACTGTAGGTTCAATTCAAAGTTTCTAACTGATTCTGAGCTGTGTGTGACTGAGACACAGGATTCCAGTTGTATCCCCCACCTCCCTTCCTATTACCCCTGGCCCCTATCCTTCTCTGCTATTTCTCTTTCATAATTGCGATGTATCTTGGTCTGGCAAGCCATGGAGGCCTATGTGGTCCAATCTACCAGATATCTTATTGGTGATTCTGTGTACTAGAAGACATTGTACAATCAATGTGGACTAAATACTGGACATATTGTTCTGTCTCAGTCCTGGGTGTCCTAGATAGTTCATCTATCCCCAGATGGCTCACTCTCACATAGCTCATGAGATTGAAAAGATCACTGGGAGAGAACAAATAAGAACCCTTTTCAGAAAAGCATGCCTGAAAAGTCAGGTGAATCCCTAGTAAAGTTGAATCAGATCTTTACTACATGGACATAGGTAATCCTCTAGTGGTGGCCAGCTGGGCCTGAAGAGCGTGCCAATTACCCTGCACTCAAAAGCTCTCAGGACCTGGTTTCACTCTGTGATTTATATCATAAGATTTCTTTTATGTGGCCAGGGAGATGGCTCAGTAGTAAAGGCACTTGGTGTAAGACTGAGGACAAGAAATTGAACCTGGAAAATGCATGGTGGACTGAGAGAACCAGGCATAGAGGGTTTAAATCTGCTGGATCTATAGCCAGCTGTTGGAACTCCCAAACAATAAATGTAAGAAGTGAGTTTGGGGAAGATTTATTTGATCTTTACACCATATGTCAGATTACTTTACAATGCTTTAGATTCCCATTCATTAGAAAGAAAAAAATTCTGTTCTTGTTCTTCATCTCTCTCCAGATCTTCTCTCAGCATTAATTTCTCTTGTTGTTCATTAGGTGTAGTAAAATATACTAAGACCACGAGATTTTACCCATGTCAAGCAAAAAAGTCCTATAAATAATAATAATAATTCCTGGGCATTGAGAGTCACTTTCTGTCTCCCTAGTGTCTCCTAAAACTTCTAACAGTGCAACTTTACCAAGGGACCGGCAAAAGCCACCAGTGAGGATGGTGAAGGTAAGACTGTTTTCCTTTCTCTGAGGCAGAAAGGTTACCTCAGTGGTCCCCTCATGTTTCAGTGGGTATAACATTTGAATCATGAAACTTGTCTGAGGCATCATGGGCATTCGAGAGTTTATTTAGGTGGAGGAAGGAATAGAACTGCACCAACTTGGTCTTGATTCAAGACAGCATACATCACAACGTGGCACAACTGTGTGTCCTGCCTTATGAGTGATTCCATCAAGGTGGATGCCTCTAATTCACACTAGTCCTCGTGGTTTAAAGATCTGACCAGCTGAACACTGAACATCCTTAAACTGGACACACTAAGCTTCCAACACATCAAACTTTGGGTCATATCCTCAAGTGATTTCCAAACCACAGGCCCTAGAAACAGAAAACATCTTAGAGAAAAATACAAGTTCTCATGAATGGTATGTGATGTAGGTTTTGAAACCCTCTAGAGGCCAGACAGGTTTCCCTCATCTGCCTTTGATTCAGAAAAGTATGAAAGCTACAAATTCTTTTCACAAAGTACAGAGTCCCAGATCTCCTGTGACATCATCAAATAATGTACCCACTAATGTAGTCTCCTCTTTATTGCTATTCTCTATCGTGGCTGCAATTACACTATGTCATTAGAAAAACAAATCTTTTTTTTAGACATTATTCAGCATGATCATGGCATTAAATATTTTCTTTTCTATTGATTGCAGGTGGTGTCTAAAAAACACAGATGTGGTATGTATTGTGGGATCACTTTCCTAAGACACACTTTAGATAGGAATTGTATAAATACCAGTTGTATTTTGTATTATGTACCTGTGTAATCTAAGACACCTAATGATAGAAGTTTGGTTTTAGATTTTTTTAGTGATTTTTAGGAAAGAAACATATCAAGGAAGAAATCATAGATATGTGTATGTTCCTTGTATTCAACATCAATCCGTTGGTATTTTAAGGTATTGTGCTCCAAATCTTGTCTTAATCTCCCCCCTCCAAAATATATCTTACCATTTACCCAACGGAATATTCAGTGACAGATAGGTAAATTGAAAATCAGAATACAAGTTACCTACAAAAATGTATTCAAACCTCATCTTAGTTGTACTGGGTCAGTCATATGTTTTTGTGTTCATGCATAAATGAATAAACCCTTGCTCAGAGATAGTGATAAGGCACCTTAACTATGAATCTCAATAGACACTACTCATTCCATCAAGGGCACAATAATCCTGTCAGAGTTCTGTCTTCTTGCATTTGCCTGCAATAAGGCAAATCAGTAGGGACCCCAAATGCCGTAATGACTGCTGTAGTGGTTAGAAGTACTAGGGAGTGTCATCCAGCATGCAACAGACAGTTTATTCTTTGAAGGGCAGAGACGCTAACATCCTGCATTAATGTGACAGATGCTAAAAATTAAAGGACATGGGAGAGTCGTGAACATAACTCCAAAATTGGTTTCTATTAGGCAAGATGCATTCCAGTAGGTTCTGGAGAAAAGCATTAACAGATTATGCAACATGAGCATGGGCACAAAGAGGAACACAACTTAGGGGCAGTGTGCCCTGAGAACTGCAGTCACCAAGTGCAGCTTGATCTATACCATCTCATTCCTTGAGAAAACAGTGTTTTCTTTTGCTTTGTTTTTGAGGCAGGGACTCACTGTGTGTCTATACCTGTACTAGAACTACATACACATATACCATACTGGCCTGGAACTCACACAACTTCACCTGCCTCTGCCTACAGGGTGCTGTTATAAAAGGAGTGCTCTCTATACCCAAAGGGAATACATCTTTAAAAGTCAGGTACACTCTATGCTCCAGAAGTTTTTCCTCTCAGGAGTGGACATTCACTAAGATTTGAATGTGAGCACTCCTTAGGTCCTTATATTCAGCACGGAAACACAACACTGTCACACTGACATGGATTTATGACCTTACATACACCATGAATGTAATGCATGCTGAAGTATGCAGTGTGCTCAATGATCTCCCTAAACACCACCATGACTCTGATGACAGTGCCTGCAGAACAGTCTTGAGATGGAATGCAAAAAAAAACAGACTGGTTTCCTCCATTTTCTGCCGTGAAACTGACATAACTGTCATTGCTGTTAATGCATTCACAGTGCCCAAATTCTGGAGGAAACTCAATCAGAGAAACCCTGCTGGTTCTTGGGACAGTGAAGAACTTGAAGTCCAAGCTGGTACTTCCAAAGAAAGATCACAAAGTGAAATGGAAGGTACTGTTGAAATGCAATAATTTCATTGGTTGATATATGGTAGTTGTGGATCATTATTTTATTGTAAGAGGTAAACATAATGAACTTAGCATTAGTTTCCAATGTAGATAATGTTAATTTGCATAGTTCATCAGGTGAATTCAGCAAAAGAATTAAAAAATATTTTTTGTTAACTATGACAATCATCAAGTAACAGGAAAACACAGGAAAGGTGAACTCAATCTTGTCTCTATCATTGTCACTTCACCTGGTGCAGGCAGGAGTAAGTGAGCCACCCTCTATTACTTTTCTCCCAGAAACTTTAACGTAGAAGAATATGAACAGTCTCAAGATTGATAAGGTGATTGTCAAAACTGTCAAGAGTTAGGGCAATATTTGAAACAGATATCAGCATTTCTGGACTGTCCCAAGTGGAGTGGGTCCCTGGAGTAGTGTGTCACACCCTGTGCTTATGGGAAAGACCAGTAGGGACAAGGAAATGGCACGAGGTTTCTGTGCTTTTCCTCCTCCTTCAAAGGCACCAGGGTAGTCTTGTCATGTTGTCAGGCTTAAGTACTCTTTGCTTCTGGCTCTGTCATTTGAAGGCAGACTTTTAACACTTGATGCTTTTCAGCATTTGTCACTACCATAGTTTCAATTGTGCTTAGTAGCTCTCCATGGAATTTGTGCCTAAGGTACTTTCCCAGTTTGTGTGATGAAATACTATGACCAAAACATGCCAAAGGAGGAGTGTTCATTTTGCCATGCTGTCATGAGTGTGATGTGCATATTTGCTGAGAGCCCATAGATCCAGGAGCCTGAGGTACAGGTCCAATGCAACAAGAATAAGGAAAAGGAGGGCTTATGCTCTGCTCACCTTCTCCTTATATAGTTGTGGATCTAAGCCCCAGCCTCTGACAGTGGGACAGTTCACTTCTTCAGTTAACCTTGTCAAGATAATACCCTACTGCCATTCCTCAGAGATCTGGCCCTTATCATTTTGACTTTTGTGATTAACCATCATAGTGCCCCTAAAACATAGTGATCAGTTTGGGGGTCCATTCTATGATAAACCCAGTCTGTCTGGTGGAAGACAACCTCCTCTGATGCATTCAAATCTATATATAAATAAAGGTCTTACAAATTCCTCATAATGATGTAGAATAAGCCGATACTTTCCCTGGGTCCATTGGGACTTTGTTGGCATTTGACCATTTATTCCCTCTTTAAGGGGCATCCACAAGTTAGACTCCTAAATAGCTAGAAGGCTTCTCTAAAATCACCTCATTGCAACACTAGCAATATCCTGAAGAGTAAAGGCCTCATGTGTGTCTTCAGCTTTTAACAGTCTATGCTCCTTAACTTTAACTAGCATGTTAGGTGACTGAGTCAAGAGAGTTTAAAGGCTGATATCTATCTTGGAATCTTTGACTTAATGATGAGAAAGTGTCTGCACTCTGATCTTTGAGGCCTTAGAGGCATCCTTATTTCATCCTCCAACATGCAGAAACCGAGTTTGTGAATTTCCCTCAAAATACTGCTCGTACTCCTCAGAATAAAGGATATAGACACAAGGGATCAGCTCTCCAGGTACCTATAGGATGTGTCTGCCCCTTGTGAAGTCCCATCCTCTTGGCATGGTCTGATGTATCTCATCTTTCCTGGGGACATAATCCTGTAATCTAAGGAATCTCCTCTAAGTGATGGTCACTTCCATGTTAGGTTCACAACCTGGGTTAATAAGAAGTATGTCTTCTTATCTTGAATTTTATTATTCTGCATTTTTGGCTTCCTTTCATAGACTATATCTGCAGGTTCAATGTACTGTTTCCCTGCTTCTAGGCTGTGTGTGATAGACACATAGGATTCCACTTTTAGCCCCCACCCTCAGTCTCCCTTCTTACTACCTTTGCCCCTTTGTTTCCCCAGCCACTTCTCTTTCATACATGGCGGCCTATGTAGTTCCTTCTTACCAAAACCTATTGGTGATTCTGTCCACTGGAAGACATTTTTGATGCAGTGTGGACTGTATTTCAGAAATGTCTCCAGTCGCATCCATAGGTTTTCTAGGTCTTCCTGTAATCCTTAAATGTCTAGCTCATAGAAAGTCCATGAGATTGAAAAGATCACTGGGAGAGAACAGAAAAGAGCCCTTCTTAGGAAAGGCTTGAATCTTGAAAGATAGTTGAATCTCTAGTAAAGGTTGGTCAGACCTTTACTATATACATGTAGGTAATCCTCTACTGGTGGCCAGCTGAGCCTGAAGAGAGTGCCAATTACCCTGCACTCAAAATCATCTCAAGAACTGATTGTACAGTGTGATTTTTAGAAAGATGTCCCATGCTCTTGGATAGGTAGGATCAACATAGTAAAAATGGCAATCTTGCCAAAAGCAATCTATAGTTTCAATTCAATCCCCATCAAAATAATGGCACAATTCTTCACATACCTTGAAAGAATAATACTCAACATTATATGGAAAAACAAAATAGCCAAAATAGCCAAAACAACCCTGTACAATAAAAGAACTTCCAGAGGCATCACCACCTCTGCCTTCAATCTCTATTATATTATAGAAAGCTATAGTTCTGAAAATAGTTTGGTATTGGCATAAAAATAGACAGGTAGACTAATGGAATCAAATTGAAAACATTGATATTAACCCACACACCTAGAAACACATGATTTTTAACAAAGAAGCTAAAATTATACAATGGATAAAAGAAAGGATCTTCAACAAATGATGCTGGCATAACTGGATGCTGGTGTGTAGAAGACTGCAGATAGATCCATATCTATCGGCATACACAAAACTCAAGTCCAAATGGATCAAAGACCTCAACATAAATCCAGCCACATTGAACCTCTTAAAAGAGAAAGTAAGAAGTACCCTTGAATGAATTGGTACAGGAGACCACTTCCTGAACATAGCACCAGTAGCACAGACACTGAGATCAACAATTAATAAATGGGACCTCCTGAAACTGAGAAGCTTCTGTAAGGAAAAGGGCACAGTCAACAAGACAAAATGGCAGCCCACAGAATGGGAAAAGATATTCACCAACCCCATATCTGACAAAGGGATCTCCAAAACATATAAAGAACACAAGAACCTACTCAACAAAACACCAAATAATCTAATTAAAAAGTGGGATACAGAAATAGAGAGTTCTCTGGTAGAGGAGGAAGAGAGGGAGAAGGGAACTGGGATCGTCATATAATTCAATCTTGTTTGTAATTCAAATATATAATAAATAAATAAATAAATAAATGAAAGAAATAGAGAGTTCTCAATAGAGGAGTCTAAAATGGCTGAAAGACACTTGAGAAAGTGTCCAACATCCTTAGCCAACAGGGAAATGCAATTGAAAACAACTCTGAGACACCATCTTACTCCTGTCAGAATGGCTAAAATCAAAAACACCAATGACACTCTATGCTGGAGAGGATTGCAGAAAGGGGAACACTCCTCCACTGCTGGTGGGAATGCAAATTTGTATAGCCACTTTGGAAATCAGTATGGCAGTTCCTCAGGAAAATAGGAATAATCTACTTTAAGATCCAGCAAATCAAGTGAGATAACCCAGTCACAGAAAGACAAACATGGTATGTACTCACTCATACATGGATTTTAGATATGGATCAGGGGATTGCCAGCCTACAATCCTACCACCAGAGAGTCTGGAAAACAGGGAGGACCCTAACAGAGACATGCATGGTACCCCAGAGAAGGGGAACGAGACAGGATCTCCTGAGCAGATTGAGAGGATGGAGAGAGGGCAGAGGGAGCTTGGAGGGAGAGAATGGTAGGAGAGGAGGGTAGAAGAGGACATGGGGGAGCAAGAAGGTTGAGTCAGGGGAAGAATACAGGAGAGCAGGATGAGAGATACCAAGAGAGAGTCATTATACGTTTGAGGAGAGATCTGGCACTAGTGAGATTTCCAGAGATCTTCAAGGATGATACCAACTGGCAATCTAAGCAATTGTGGAGAGGCTTCCTTACATGCCCTTCCCTGATAATGAGATTGATTATTAACTTATATGCCATCCTAAAGCCTTCATCCAGTGGCTAATGGAAGCATAAGCAGACACCCACAGCTAAACACTGACCTGAACTCCTGGAACCCAGTTGCAGAGAGGGAGGAGTGATAAGCAAAGCGGTCAAGACCAGGCTGGTGAAGCCCACAGAAACAGCTGACCTGAACCAGAGGAAGCTCATGGACCCCAGACTAATGGCTGAGAGGCCAGCATGGGACTGATCCAGACCCTCTGAACTCAGGTGTCAGCGAGGAGGCCTCAGCAATATATGGGGTCTCAGGTAGTAGATCAGCATTTATCCCTGGCTTACAAATGGACTTTGGGAGCCCATTCCACATGGAGAGATACTCTCCATGTGGAATGGGCTCTCTCAGCCTGAATACATGGGGGAGGGCCTAAGCCCTGCTCTAAATGATATGACAGACTTTGAACATCCCCCTTGGAAGGCCTCACCCTCCCTGGAGAGTAGAAAGGGGATGGGATAGGGGTCAGTGTGGGGCAGGGGAGGAGGGGAGAAAGAAGGAACAGGGATTGACTTGTAAAACAAGCTTGTTTCTAATTTAAATTATAAATAGGGGGAAATTTGTTTTATGGGGCCAGCAAGATGGTTCAGCAGTAAAGGCACTTGCTGTAAGACTGGGGACAAGAAATTGTACCTGGAAAATGCATGGTGGACTAAGAGAACCAAGAACAGAAGATTTACTTAAACTATATGCACAGCCAACTGTTGAGCCTCCCAACTAAAAAAAAAAATGTAAAAAAAAAAAAGTTTGAAACATCTATTTCATCTTTACAGGATATAACAGACTCTTTCACAATACTTTAGATTCCCATTACTTAGAAAGAAAGAAAAAATTGACCCTAATTTCTCTCCAGAAATTTTCTTCCCCTTAATTTTTCTTCCTGAAAGACAGTCCTGCAACAACCCAACCACATAGTTCATTAGGTTTAGTCATATGTACTGAGGCCGTGTGTATTTATCCACATCAAGAAAAGATCGCCTGTAAATAATAATAGTAATTCATTGGAATTGAGAGTCACTTTCTGTCTCCCTAGTGTCTCCTAAACCTTCTAACAGTGCAACTTCACCAAGGGACCAGCAAATGGTGAAGGTAAGACTGTTTTCCTTTCTCTGAGGCAGAAAGGTTACCTCAGTGGTCCCCTCATGTTTCAGTGGGTATCACATTTGAATCATGAAACTTGTCTGAGGCATCATGGGCATTCGAGAGTTTATTTAGGTGGAGGAAGGAATGGAACTGCACCAACTTGGTCTTGATTCAAGACAGCATATATCACAATGTGGCACAACTTTGTGTCATGCTTTATGAGTGATTCCATCAAGGTGGATGCCTCTAATTCACACTAGTCCTCGTGGTTTAAAGATCTGACCAGCTGAATACTGTACATCCTCAAGCTGGACACACGAAGCTTCCAACACATCAAACTTTGGGTCATATCCTCAAGTGATTTCCAAACCACAGGCCCTAGAAACAGAAAACATCTTAGAGAAAAATACAAGTTCTCATGAATGGTATGTGATGTAGGTTTTGAAACCCTCTAGAGGCCAGACTGGTTGCCTCCTCTGCCTTTGATTCAGAAAAAGTATGATAGGTAATAATTTTCATCACAACACAGAGTCCCAGATCTCCTGTGACATCATCAAATAATGTACCCATTAATATAGTCTCCTCTTTACTGATCATCTCTGTCCTGGTTGCAATTACACTGTCAGTGGAAAAATTAAGGCTTTGCAGATATTACATAGCATGATCATGGCATTAAATATTTTCTTTTCTATTGATTGCAGGTGGCGTCTAAAAAATGCAGAATTGGTATGTATTGTGTGGTCATTTAAGACACAGTTTAGACAGGAATTGTTTAAACATTGGCTGAATTTTGTATGATAAACCACTGTGATCTAAGGTAGTTTATTTGAGAATTGTCATTTTAGACTGTTTTGTTTGGTTGTTTTTAAGGAGCTCTATTGTGCTCAGATTCTCAATTATATGGATAATTTTGAAAATTATCCAAATATCCAACCCAATTCCCTGTGACAATTTTGTAAATTGAAATCAGAATGTAGGTTACCTACAAAAATGTGTTCAAACATCATTTCAAATATGCAGAATCAGATACATGTTTGTGTGCTCATCCATTTTTGAAAAAAAAAAACAGAGCTCAAAATTAGTGATGAGGCTCCTTAGTTGTTCATCTCAAGAGCCACCTTGTACTTCATCAAGGGCAAAACAACCCATGTAGATGAGTTTTGCCTTCTTACACTTGCCTGCAGTGCAGCAGGCAGTCACAGCTTTGAAGGGTAGAGAATACACATACTTCTTTTCAGGTGACACAGACTCAAAGGTAAAGTACAAATGAAAGTACAGTAGATAGTTCCAAAATGGATTTCTTTTAGCCATGATGAATTCCAGTAGGTTCTGGAGAAAATCATTAACAGATAATGCAACATGAGCATGGGCACAAAGAGGAACACAACTTAGGGGCAGTGTGCCCTGAGAACTGCAGTCACCAAGTGCAGCTTGATCTATACCATCTCATTCCTTGAGAAAACAGTGTTTTCTTTTGCTTTGTTTTTGAGGCAGGGACTCACTGTGTGTCTATACCTGTACTAGAACTACATACACATATACCATACTGGCCTGGAACTCACACAACTTCACCTGCCTCTGCCTACAGGGTGCTGTTATAAAAGGAGTGCTCTCTATACCCAAAGGGAATACATCTTTAAAAGTCAGGTACACTCTATGCTCCAGAAGTTTTTCCTCTCAGGAGTGGACATTCACTAAGATTTGAATGTGAGCACTCCTTAGGTCCTTATATTCAGCACGGAAACACAACACTGTCACACTGACATGGATTTATGACCTTACATACACCATGAATGTAATGCATGCTGAAGTATGCAGTGTGCTCAATGATCTCCCTAAACACCACCATGACTCTGATGACAGTGCCTGCAGAACAGTCTTGAGATGGAATGCAAAAAAAAACAGACTGGTTTCCTCCATTTTCTGCCGTGAAACTGACATAACTGTCATTGCTGTTAATGCATTCACAGTGCCCAAATTCTGGAGGAAACTCAATCAGAGAAACCCTGCTGGTTCTTGGGACAGTGAAGAACTTGAAGTCCAAGCTGGTACTTCCAAAGAAAGATCACAAAGTGAAATGGAAGGTACTGTTGAAATGCAATAATTTCATTGGTTGATATATGGTAGTTGTGGATCATTATTTTATTGTAAGAGGTAAACATAATGAACTTAGCATTAGTTTCCAATGTAGATAATGTTAATAGGTGAGCCACCCTCTCTATTACTTTCTCCCAGAAACTTTAACGTAGAAGAACTGAATATGAACAGTCTCAAGATTGATATGGTGATTGTCAAAACTGTCAAGAGTTAGGGCAATATTTGAAACAGATATCAGCATTTCTGGACTGTCCCAAGTGGAGTGGGTCCCTGGAGTAGTGTGTCACACCCTGTGTTTATGGGAAAGACCCGTAGGGACAAGGAAATGGCACGAGGTTTCTGTGCTTTTCCTCCTCCTTCAAAGGCACCATGGTAGTCTTGTCATGTTGTCAGGCTTAAGTACTCTTTGCTTCTGGTTCTGTCATTTGAAGGCAGACTTTTAACACTTGATGCTTTTCAGCATTTGTCACTACCATAGTTTCAATTGTGCTTAGTAGCTCTCCATGGAATTTGTGCCTAAGGTACTTTCCCAGATTGTGTAATGAAATACTATGACCAAAACATGCCAAAGGAGGAGTGTTCATTTTGTCATGCTGTCATGAGTGTGGTGTGCATATTTGCTGAGAACCCATAGATCCAGGAGCCTGAGGCACAGGTCCAATGCAACAAGAATAAGGAAAAGGAGGGCTTATGCTCTGCTCACCTTCTCCTTATATAGTTGTGGATCTCAGCCCCAGGAACAATACCTCAGACAGTAGGACAGTTTATTTCCTCAATTAACCTTATCAAGATAATGCTCTATATACATGTTCTGGTATCTGGATCATAGCAACTTGACTATTGAGATTAACTAACACAGTGGCCATAAACTGTTGTGGCCATTTTAGGATTTTGATGTTGTTGAATATTTATTTGTACACTGTGTGAATTGGTGTCAGTGTAATTGGTTTAATAAAGAGCCCAATAGGCAATAGCTAGGGATGGAGAGGTTAGGTGGGACTTCTGGATACCGAGAGGAGGCCGAGTCCCCATCCTGACATGAGAGAAAACATGAGATGCAATAAAAAAGAGGTAATGCCATATGATAAAATATCGGTTAATATAATTTGGTTAATTTTAAGTTATAAGAGCTAGTTAGGAACAAGCCTAAGCTGTAGGCTGAGCTTTCATAATTAATAAGTCTCCATTTCATTATTTGTGAGCTGGTGGCCCAAAGGAAGGAAGGAAGGATGGGGGAATAAGGTAGAAAATATTAGGGAGCAGATTTTAAAGTTTCCATATCAAGGTCTAATACAATCATTCAGAAAATATATGGCTCAAATGGAGAATGGCATGAAGTCATGGGGGAAAAGCTTAGTGCATTCCTGATATTTATCCCTAGTTAAAAGGGTAGAATAAAAGACAGACATGAATATAGGAAAGAAATCATGCCATGAGGATGCTTCTGGATGGCCTACCAGCCTAGCATCCTTTGTTGTCTAATGGTTATAATCAGGCAGTATCACCACCATAGCCTGGCTAGTTCAGTCAGTAGAGTATGGCTCTCTTAATTTCAGGGTCAAGGGCTCATGCCAGAATGTTGGATGCCATATGTACTCAAATTTGGGCTACCAGCTCACAAATAATGAAATGGAGACTTCTTATCAATTATGAAAACTCAGCCTATAACTTAGACTTACTCCTGAGTAGCTCTTATAAGCTAAATTAACCCATTTATATCTATGTTCTATCACTTGGCATTACCTCTCTTTATTTTGCACCTCCATTTTCTAATCCGTGTATGCCTATCATCTCCACCTTTTATTTCCAGAGAACTCTCTATCCATGGAAGTTTCACCTAACCTTGTCCTGCCTAGCTATTATCCATTCGACTCTTTATTAAATCAATCACAGTGACACATTTTCATACAATGTACAAATATTGCACCGCATTTTAATCTATGGTAGGGCCAGTCTCACTGGTGGTAGACAGTCCTCTTCTGGACACTCATTTGTTCATATTTATATATGTATATGTCTTAGAAGTGGTCCTGCAAATCCTATCCTCACAATAAGGGATATAGACACAAACAGATTAGCTCTCCAGGCACCCATGTGATGTGCCTGTTCCTCCCTGCTGTCCACACTTGACTCCCACCCACCCTCTAGGCATGTTCTGACTTGGCTCATCTTTCCTGGGCTAATGAGCTTTTAATCTAAGGAGTCTCTGTCCTCTAAGTGACCTCAATGTCACTTCCTCAGTAGACTTGCAGCCTAGACTCATCAGAAGTATGTCTGCTTCTCTTGGATTCTTTTATTCTGGAGCTGGTCCGCATTCCTTTTCATAGACTCTTATCTGTAGGTTCAGTTCAAAGTTTCTACCTGCTTCTGAGCTGTGTGTGACTGAGACGCAGGATGCCACTTCTATCTCCCACCTTTCAGTCTTCCTTCTTCTTATTTCTTGCCCCTATCCCTCTCCAGCCACTTCCCTTCCATAAATGCCATGTTGATTCAGGACTATAATTATGCAAAGCCATATATGGCTATGTGGTCCATTCTTCCTGTCGCCTTATTGGTGATTCTGTGTACTAGGAGACAGCACACAGGCAATGTGGACAAACTCCCAGACATGTTATTCAGCTTCAGTCCTGGGTGTCCTAGAGTCCTAGAGTCACCAGATGGCGCACATAGCTCATGAGATTGAAAAAAAATCAATGGGAGAGAACAGAAAAGAACTCTTCTCAGAAAAGCATGCCTGGAATGGCATTTGAATCTCTAGTAAAGGTGGATCAGACCTTTACTATGTGGACACATGCTACTACAGCAATCTTCTCCTGGTGGCCACCTGAGCCTGAAGAGTGTGCCAATTACCCTGCATTCAAAATCATCTCAGGGACTGACTGTACTGTGTGAACTATATCATAAGATTTGTTTTATGGGGCCAGTGAGATGGCTCAGAGTAAAAGCACTTGCTGTAAGACTGAGGACAAGAAATTGAACCTGGAAAATGCATGGTGGACTGAGAGAACCAGGCATAGAGGGTTCAGTTATACTCGATGCACAGCCAACTGTTGAGTCTCCCAACTAGAATAAGTGTAAAAAGACAGTTTGAAAGATTTATTTCGTCTTTACACCATATAACAGATTTGTTTACAATGCTTTAGATTCCCATTCCCTATAAAGAAAAATCTTTCTTAATTTTTTCTTGATTTACCTTCCTCAAAGACAGTCCAACAACAGTCCTACCATATTGTATATTAGGTTTAGTCACATGTGCCAACTAAATGCACATTTGTCCACATCAAGCAAAGATCCCCTGTAAATAATAATCCTGTGAGCTAAGAGACATTTTCTTTGTCCCTAGTATCCCCTGTACCCACTAACAGTGGAATTTCACCATGGGACCAGCGAAAGCCTCCAATTAGGATGGTGAAGGTAAGACTGTTTTCCTTTCTCTGAGGCAGAAAGGTTACCTCAGTGGTCCCCTCATGTTTCAGTGGGTATCACATTTGAATCATGAAACTTGTCTGAGGCATCATGGGCATTCGAGAGTTTATTTAGGTGGAGGAAGGAATGGAACTGCACCAACTTGGTCTTGATTCAAGACAGCATACATCACAACGTGGCACAACTGTATGTCATGCTTTATG